AAGTATTGTATCTTTGCTATTGTTGGAATATTTGGATTATAAAAAGGGCTATTTTATTGTAAGAGATAGAGCCAGGGCACCCTATTCCACAAGGCCAAAAGGTCATATAATTCCGGATCAACGATCCTGAATACCCTGGGGGCATCTATATAGTATACCGCCGTTCGGCCACCGGAATGTCCATGCACCTGGGGCAGGGTATACTGTACAGTCACCTTGCATGATCGTTATCAATTCTGTGACATTATCTACATAGTATAGCTACTCGGTACTCTTCAACTATTCAACCTAGGTACATAGTAATCGAACACCTCAAGTACCAATTACCATGTTCAGATTGGGTCGTCAATTGTAAAAAAGTCGTTTACAGTCCGGTTTTACATCAAATGTCTTTTTTTTCTTACATGACTAGCTGTTGTCAAGTATAGTGAAAGAGATTTCCCATTGCAAGACGGCTTTAAAGAGGCATGACCCAAGACGGGGACGAGAGTAGATGAGATGCCAATAGGAATATGTAGCTTTCCTTTAATAGTGTGACGTTCTGCAGATTTTCTCGCATTATTGTCGTTCTTCCTCTCGTATCTGGGAAAGAATTCGCTCTAATCTTGGCGTAAGTTCAGTTCTATGTCCGTGTTGTGTCTCGAGCAACCGCGAATCTTTCTCAACCTTTTGATAATATCGAAGGAACTCCTGGGCCGTTGATAGTGCCGCTGCAAGTCCTTTGCCATCTAGAGAAACCTTGACCTGGGCCAATGCTATGGGATTCAAACAAAGTGTAACTAGAAGAATTGACAAGTACCCGATAGCAACATTATGCTGCACTTCGGAAACGGAGTGTGCCTAAATTCTGCATTAGGCACTATAAGTGAATGTACATAGGACTTCCTTACCTGGGATACAGAACTGATACTGGTAGAAAATTGCTGTAAGAGCAAATCGAGGGAAGATTCAGAAGTACTTGTTGTCTCCAGAAAAATAGCTCTCGATGATTCACTTTTTTCTGCAAGATTAATAAGAGCACCCAGAGCTAATATTACCGCATCTACTGAGCTGATCTCTTTACCAGTGGTTTCTTCGGGCACAGCACAAAATTCTGAAATGATGACCTTGACAAGTCCACCAACAATTTCAGTTCTGCAGCACTCCTCACAAAGAGATGGGTCCTTGTTGGTAAGGTTTAACAGTACCCGAATGTATAGGATCAGAATCCGCCGGCTTTGATCACCCTGGTTCGGATAGAGAAAGTTATAACACTGAACAAGTGACCGAAAGGAGTTGCAGCAGTCGGGATCCAATGGACCCGATAGGATTGTATACGTTTCCAGAATCGACAAAGTCAGGATGAGCGTTTGATAACGTTCAAAGGGCAGAGGAAATTTCGCATTCTCACAAGCTTCGGGTAATAGCAACTCAGTAATTAGGGTTAGAAGCGGTGAAGGGATATCAACATTGGTGCCCTTCTCTTGAAAGGCAGTTAGAGAAGATTGAATATTCAAAAGAATCAGCAGACGCGGTGAAATAGTTGACATCGACCGCTTTCCGTATATTGCAAGGGACAACCGTGGCAAAAGACTCTTCAAGGATGCTTGGACAGCTTTTGATAGACCGATATATCGCTGTTTCGCGGTAACTGATATATCGTCTTCGACGTCAAGTAGAGTGGGAGATATATCCAAAAGTTTGGGCCAAAATGGTGTTGATGGTGCAGACGAGAAAGAGCCGCTGATCCATATCAATCTATAAGCGCATAGGGCAAGAGTGGTTGAAACTATATCAAAACCCCCACCTGTAATACATTTCACCAGTCGTTCGCCAAAGCCAGCTTCGGAAAAACGGCCTAAAAACCGAGGCTCCATAAGTTTTGTACACAGTTGAACAAAGCCATTGCACACCTCCGATGTGGAATTGTGAGGGTCCTCGATATCTTCGAAGATTAAATCCACTGTTTCCCAAAAGCGTGCATTGTCTCCAGCCTGTCTTAACTCATGGATGCTTCGAACCGGCCTGCTGTTGAGGCTTTCATCGTCTTCAACATGCGAGTAGGTTTGAGATAGCAGCCCTGAATTTGGCTGTGGCTGCCTAAGACTATGACATCCTGAGGAAACTAATAGGCCAGGTTCTTCAGTGTGGCCCAAGACAGAAGCATCATTTAGGAAGGAACGCTGGTGTGCATAAGTAACCCTAGACTTTCCAGATATCGATGGTCCGGAATTAGGCGACCGTTGGATATTGTCTATACCAGGAGCCTTAGATCGATGTATATACGCAGTACGCTGTCGATCGATTCCTTTCCAGGTACGGCTAGAGGGCGTTTGGCAGTCGGACTGACATTCACGATCTGACAGAAAATCCAGTGGCACCCCTTCTGTTGAGTCCAATGAATCAACTAATCTCTTCCGAAGACTTGGTTGTTTCGTTTGGTGCCTGGTGGCATCCACGGCGCTGAGATATGATGTAGAAAGCCTGTCGGTCTTGAGAGAAAACTTTCTATCCCGATGAGATTGAAGCATATAGGTTGTTTCTGTAGGAGCCTGTTCATTCCTTGCGATTTCAGCCTGAGCTCCCTTTGGAAGGCTACAACCATCACTTTGGTCTCGAGCTTTGGCCATATGGAGGGCCTCATTGCCCTTGACACAATTCGAACCTTCGGTTTCGCTAAATCTCGTAGCACTTTCATGTGCAAAGATAGACCCAATATGACTATCAGCACTCACACTGTGCTCCTGAGTTTGTTGCGCTTTTTCCTGGAGCTTTCTGCGCTTTGTTCCGCTGACATCATAGGCTTTCCCATGGCTATTCTGGGAACCTAGTATGTGCGCGTCAGGACTATGATCAAGTGAGTCAACACCACAGAATTGCCGAGAATCACTGCCTGGCGATTGAGTCAAGGTATTTGAAACCTCAACACCACTAGAGATAATGGGAGTTGTTGGTCCCTCTTCTACCCTGTTCTTGAAGTTGTGAGACTTATGTGAGCTTGGTTTACCGTAAGTCACAAGTCTCTTGGTTTTCTCACGCATATTTCAGACGCCACTTGTATAGGCAGGGCCGGTACGTATGAGGCTCTTATGTGAATTGATAAAGAAGGCAAATAGGTTCAGGAAGATTGCGAGAAAAGAGTATATAAGCAGTAGAAAGATTGACACCGAGTTGTTAGAAGGCTTCAATTACAAAATGGAAAGAGTAGATGGATTTATTGGGATGAGCTCTTTGAAGAAACTACTACACACGTTCGTGGATGTGATTGCTCCATGGAGGTGCAGGTAGTAATAATCTGGTATAGTTGTGAACCAACAAAACTGCTATGAAAAGGACTCCACAGCCTGATTTGATACTTAGTTGAACGTTCTGAGTGTAAGTATTGTGCGTGATACAATATCAACTGTAGATCCACATACTGTGCATTATAGCTGTTAAAGAAATGTTGGTATAAATCAAGTTTCCCGAAGTTCTGCAATTAGACTAACTCGTTTCCATTAAGAGCGGGGAGCGCGGAGTCGCGGACTACACAATATTCAGTACAAATTAGACTGGACTAGGTCTTATGCTAGCTAAGTTACATTACATTCTACTAACTAGTTTTGTGGTTATATTAGTAGAACCTATAACCTATCTAGTCCTCCATAACCATGTTTCTTTTGCCGGTTTTATGTTAAGTATTTCATAATCCAATTACCTAGGGAACCACCCCACCCGCCTTCAAGCTACTTGTCGGACATATTCATGCACTGTCTTTACCTGCTTGGTCTCTCCCTTTTCCTTGCGACAAACTAACTTCATCACTACTTCCACGCGAGTTTAGCAGACCCTCAGTGGGACGACTAGCTTTTTCCCCCGCTGTTCAAAGTTCACATTTGCCTTCATCTATCAAGAACCATACTAAAGGTCTCATTGACCATGGCTGATGAACGATTGGAAGCAAACCCTTCTCCTGCCCAAGGAGTTGGCCCAATTTACAGACCCGATGGTGAGAAGCCAACAGCAACAGTGTCGAAAGACATAGATTATGAAAATGTCCATGTTTTGCCTCAAACACCCCAGTTGATCGCTCTTCTCACGTAAGTCATACGTCTCTAAAGAAATTTGAAGTCAACATTGGATGCCTATACTGACGACTGCATAGTATGATCAGAGATAAGAGAACTGGGCGTGCCGATTTTATTTTCTATTCCAATAGAATCATCCGTTTGTTGGTGGAAGAAGGTTTAAACCACCTTCCAGTGGTTGAGCAAGCGGTGACAACTCCTGTGGGCCGTACCTATCTCGGTGTCAAGTTCGAAGGTAAAATATGCGGCGTATCCATCATGAGAGCGGGCGAGGCAATGGAGCAGGGCTTGAGAGATTGCTGTCGATCAGTTCGCATTGGGAAAATACTTATACAAAGAGATGAAGAAACATGCAAGCCGAAGCTTTTCTACGAGAAGCTCCCTGCTGATATCTCCAGTCGTTGGGTTTTACTCCTTGATCCAATGTTCGCAACTGGTGGGTTAGATGACCTTTTTGGACTATAAAGTGATATTAATTGCTATCAATTCAGGGGGTTCAGCGACGCTCGCTGTCGAAATTCTCAAGGCAAAGGGTGTACCGGAGGACCGTATTCTGTTCCTCAACCTTATCGCAAGCCCTTCAGGAGTCGCAGACTTTGCGGAACGCTTCCCTAAGCTCAGGGTTGTGACTGCTTTTATAGACCAAGGTTTGGATGAGAAAAAGTCCGTTTACTTCTAACCTCCCTTTTTCTTGATTAGTTCGCTAACTGGTTGCTATCACACAGGTACATTATCCCAGGACTTGGTGATTTTGGTGATCGATACTATACGCTGTGACACCCAATGACCCAGGTGAGCTTTAGTTTAGTACTGCTTATGAAGTATTACGGAGGTTTCTTCAAAATTGTTTTGCCGCGCATCTACATAATTACAACACAATGTAGTCGTATTGTGCATACCGTTTTTAGCTGAAGTTGCTGTTTCATGAGGCATGAATAAGAATTAAATATCATTGCAGGCATTCATTATCCCTAGGATTGAAGCCAGCTGATCGCCAGAAATTATCGAGCAACAGCAAGTCCTAAAAAGCAGAAGAGCGGTCATAACTTGGAAAAGCGACCACAGGAAAGCCACTGTACCTTTATATTGTACACCAATATCCAATATCTGAGAATTACGTGTATCAATCATCATCCACATATGCACCGGCTCGATCTGCATCATCGTATTCAGCATGCTGCCCAATAGAAGACACAGTAAACTCATTTGATCGCAGACCACCGGCATTATTATCCTCATATCTGCTGACTGTATCCTTGGCAACCGCATCACAAGCATCTACCCAATCTGAATATACATCGACAGCAGCAGAAAGATCTAAGGCATGAGTTTGTCAGAATTGGTCCTCGGAGTAGTGCGTGTTTATGAACTCACAATTAATGCCGGTTTGAAACCTCTGCCCACACACCTTACAGGACAAGTTTCCTAGTCCCAGCTTCTTGTCTAGTTTCACCACGATGGAATTCTCGTGGTTACAGAAAAGACATGCGAAAGTTGTCGGCAATGGTTCTCTCTGACTCTATTCTTAGCCTCAACAATCATCGCCTGTTCCAGACCTACTCACCTTCTTTGGTCCTTGTGGTTGTCTGCTTGACTTCTTCCGCTTGCCCTATCACCGAACGAACACTCAGTCATTTGTTTCCTTCTCTACATGTCCCGGTTGCACACAAGACAGGGGCAGCCTACCATGCTTCCTTCGAACGTTCGCAGGTGCTTTAGAGCTGGTATTCAGCGTAGGACAACTAAGATATCCACATCTGGTTAGTTGCAACGCGTATAGGTTTAGTTATGTACTTACTGTTTTTTAGTTGATATCAATGCGTATCCCCACAAAAACAGGGGGTAGTGAACTGAATACTGTGGCTTAGAGGCCAGTGGTGATACTCTGTACGGGGCTATAGCACAGATAAGGAAGTGAAGACTATGTACCTAGTACGGAGTATGTTATGGGGATTAGTACTCTCAGCACTTCGGGCCTGTAATGCCAATTACATCACTCGCGCCCACACTAACATTAGAAACATTGGACGGCTAGAGCGCTTTACTAGTAGCTAAGCAGCATATACACTTACATTCCCATGCAGCTCTATGTACTATCTAAACCAGGAACTTCCTCCGGAATTAATATGTCTGTACTTAGCAGCTGATGCATACTGGTATAGAAAGAGAGATATGTGTAGGAATACGACTTGATACTTGACCACACATCATCAGTCACTACCTCATATCAGCCTACAACTGCCGTCCTCGAATAAAGATCGTCATTGTTGTATGCTTTGATAGCGATTTGGGATGATTTGTATGGAACTGGAATTAAAATAGTTTTACTCCCTGGAAAATAGGAAATGTGATGACATGTATAGAGAACATTGTAACCTTGTACTTTGTGGTAGTGCGTGCTTACTTTGGTCGATACAAAACTGTATCTTCACGTGACTCTTGTAACAAAACATCCAATCATACTGTCTGAACGGTCTATTTGTGGGGGGAGAATATTATATAATCTGGGATAGGGCCGACGCTCTCGCTTAGCGGACTTTTCTGTGGGATTTCGATTTCAACTCTTATTCCGCAGCGACAATCCCATCGACTCCCTCCACCAGACCGTGTGGTGTGATATATCCGTCTGTCTTCGACCACTGCAAGATAGACCTGAGTCGCAGCTATGGCTGTTGGAAAGTAGGTCAAATCGCACATCAACGTCGCAATGCAGGACAACAATCTTGATTGCTAATGTCTTGAAGGAACAAGCGCTTGTCGAAGGGCAAGAAGGGTATCAAGAAGAGGACCGTTGATCCTTTCTCCAGAAAGGATGAGTACTCTGTGAAGGTAGTTACAATTGGTGTAGTTGCGCGAACGTTGCTAATTGCGTTCAGGCACCCTCCACTTTCCAGATCAGAGAGTATGTCGCTTCTATACATTTCAACCCCTGCATTCAGAGAAGAACCGAACCCATATGTATCGGCGAACGGCTGACCAGAAGCTCTAAAGTGTTGGAAAGACTCTGGTGAACCGCACCAGTGGTCTCAAAAATGCAAACGACTCGCTCAAGGGCCGGATTTTCGAGGTTTCCCTTGCCGACTTGCAGAACGACGAAGACCACGCTTTCCGTAAGGTCAAGCTTCGTGTGGACGAGATCCAAGGGAAGAACTGTTTGACCAACTTCCACGGCCTCGACTTCACGACCGATAAACTGCGATCCCTGGTGCGCAAGTGGCAGTCGCTCATCGAAGCCAACGTCACTGTGAAGACGACCGACGACTACCTCCTTCGTCTGTTTGCCATTGCTTTCACTAAGAGGCGCCCCAACCAGATCAAGAAGACCACATACGCCCGCTCCTCTCAGATCCGCGCCATTCGGAAGAAGATGACCGAGATCATCCAACGCGAGGCCGCCAGCTGCACTCTTTCTCAACTCACCACGAAGCTTATCCCTGAGGTTATCGGCCGCGAGATTGAGAAGGCGACGCAAGGAATCTACCCTCTCCAGAATGTTCGTGGTATTTCCCTATCCTTAGGTTTGAATCGGAAACTAAGATGTTCCTAGGTCCACATCCGCAAGGTTAAGCTTCTCAAGGCCCCCAAGTTCGACCTGGGCGCTTTGTTGAATTTACATGGCGAATCCACCACCGACGACAAGGGTCACAAGGTTGAGAGGGAGTTCAAGGAGCAGGTTCTTGAGAGCGTCTAAATCTTCCGTTGCTCACAGTGGAAGTGCAGAGTCGTCTAGAATCAAAACCGTCGCTGCCTCTCGATCGAAGATGGAAGGAGGAGGGGGAATATTCCAACTTATATCTCCGATCAACGAGGGTCGTTCATGTTTTCAAGGTAGGCGGTGTCGGTAATTCAAAAAGACTATGAATTGATTTCGTTATGTGAATGCAAATAAATAGAACTGGCTCAGTTGTTGCACGTTTCACCTGATCTGGGTGACAAATGCTGTAGTTTGATCTAGTGTCGGCACTACTACCGTGGACATGTATGTATACTGCCTTACAGGGCAGTAGTCTTACTATCTCTAACAGTACTCTGTACTGTCATTCAGCACAGTCTATCAAGACATATTCACCTAGTTACTGCTGTTATCTATTACTTCTCAAGCTTGGTATTATTGAGTCACTAATTACAACATAGTCACCCTATCAACTCAACGCATTCTAAGTGCACACCACTCCTAGTGTCTATTATTGTTCGGCCGATGAGCTCAGAACCGTCGCTTGAAGAGCTTATAGTAAACAGGCAGATGTAAGAATGCTGTTGGGTTGATTATGATTGAATCAGTTACAGTACCTACATACTAATTAACTAATGGGCTGTTATTAAGATAATAATAATATATGGGCAGGTTAGGAATCCACCTGGGGACTGAGGTTTAAGTTGTTTGGGTTGTTGAGGCAATTGATGTTTAATATCAAATTTAGTCCATGAAATTAAAATTGTAACTTGTAAGAGGATCTCCTATATAGGGCAAGTAGCCGGTTAGTTAACTAGAGTCTACTGTGGCAGGGTGCGAAAAGATCGTATTGATCCCTATAGATTTAGCGTATATAAAATGTCTTTCAGTTCTTGGCATATTTTTTTAATTTTTGCACCCCATTTTCAAGATCTAGCTATTTTCAAATAATTATAGCTCAGCCAATTCTTTATTAAATTGAATTCTGTCTAAAGTTTTATAATCAGCGATATTCAAAGTAGAGAAATAATCCTATTTTAAAATATATTAAATATAGTTTAAAAATATCGATAAATATATCTATATATACAGTGTTTTTGATATCTAATTTATACTTTGAATTACTAATTTTCCTTTATAAGATAATGTATTCGGAAAGCAAGCGTTCCACAACCGAGTGTTCCACCCCACATGTTTTGACCGTGGTAAAAAAGTATATCTAATACAATTACCAACCATACCACCAAAAGTACTTAAAATTTAAAAAAATTAATAGAAAAAAAAGACAGAATTCTATTTATAATCTCTGCTATTAAAAAATAAGAAATTAGCTCGATTTATAAAGCTGTATATATTTTTAATATTTCTTATACTATTCTATAGTATTGACTAAATAATATATTATTATTGTAGTGTATTGAGGTGTACTTAGGTAATTAGTTCTATTTTTGATATTCTACCAGTATAGTTTTACTGTCTTTATAATTGCCCTGAGATCTGTCTTAGCTATATCTCTT